AAACGGTTTTGAGCACAAAAACTACGCGATAGGAAGTGTATACATCGCCCTGTAGCAGAAGACCGGAGACGGGAACAGCCTCAGGTCGACTTTAAGCACAAAAGGAAGCGACTTCCGAATTCCCAGAGGAATGTCCGCATTTTCTCCGGTTGAAGGAAGATAGGCGAGAATTTACAGGTCTGCGGGGACCCCATGTCCCAGGTGCGGAAGTGCTGGGGACCTGCAGAGTGCACACTTAATACAACACAGAGCAAAACTCACCGCCGCGGCGCGATTTTCACTCTAGGGGATCTGCTTCCTGGTCTGCGCGCATCTGTGCGCACAGGACTAAAACCAGGCCTGGGTGGAGCCAACGAGAAAGTGGGCTGGGCCTGAGCAAGGTAGAGGTGGGGCCCCAGGCGGAGAGACCTCGCCCTTTAGAACCAGCAGAGGGCGGGGCCGGGGCGGGACAGGTCCCTCAGCCTCGCTCCCAGCGACTCTATTTTTGGGACTTTGGATGCCAGAGAGGTCAGGAAGGCTGAAGCAAGATTCAAAAGCCCTGGAATTGTCTGGAACGGGGTTGCAAACTAGAATGTGAAATGCAAAACCCTGCCTGGGCAGAACGTACAATTTCATGCTGACGGCCCAGAGAACAGAATAGAAATCCTCTCCCTTTCTACTCTCCATTCACTCAGAAGGGAGAGTTCACCCTGTGCTCAGCTTCAGAGACTTCCCGAGGACCCCTGCATGGGATGTGCCATGGAGGGCTCAGGCCAGGGAGGAATGAGGTCACCACCTGCTGCTTAAACACAGCAGGGATGCGGCCGGGTGGGCAGGAGCCTGAGGACCCAGGGGCGGGAGGATCGCTGAGCCTGGGGGTCCAGGCCAGCCTGGGCGACAAAGTCACACCTCCCGCAGGGATCCCTTCCTTGTCTCTTTTAATTTTTAAAATAAAATTTTGATTGTGTGAGATAGGGATCCAACATTATTCTTTTCCATGTGGTTATTCAGTTAATTGTCCTAGCACATTTGTGGAAGAGATCTATTACTTTCTTTTTAAATTTCTTTTCTTTCTTTTTTTTTTTGAGACAGAGTATTTCTCTGTCGCCCAGGTTGGAGTGTAGTGGCTAGATCTCGGCTCAGTGCAGCCTCTGCCTCCTGGGTTCAAGCGATTCTCCTGCCTCGGCCTCCGGAATAGCTGGCATTATAGGCACGCGCCACCACACCCTGCTAATTTTTGTATTTTTTTGTAAAGACGGGTTTTCACCATGTTGGTCAGGCTGGTCTCAAACTCCTGACTTGAAGTGATCCGCCTGCCTCGGCCTCCTGAAATGCTGTTATTACAGGAGTGAGCCACTGTGCCTGGCCCAAGAAATACCCTTCACTTCACTTTTAAATGTTGAGAAAATATAATTGAAAACTAAAAAATCTTCCCTTAAATGAGATATCATCTTCACGACGATAACAGCGAAAGAAATAAAAACTGTTTTATTAATAAATAAGCCTTATACCAGAATGTGATGGGAAACAGAGAACAGTTGAGAGGTTGAAAAGAGAGAAAGAAACTTAACTGTTCTGTACAACCCAAGTTCATGTTTTCAAGATAAACACCAATCAGTCCTCAGGGAAGAGGACTTGACAACACCCTTGATCACACATAGTTCATCCTGGCTCTACTTGGTAATGGAGGTGACTATCTGTGTCAGCTAATTAGCTTCATCCAGAGGGAGGGGGAGAAACCCTAACCCATGTCTTTTTGACAAATGTGAGTTTTACAACATGGCGACAGGTGCCCTCTCTGGTGAGACTCCTACAATCCGACAGAAACTGATGCCAGCAGGAAATAATAAAATTTAGAATACATTATTGTCATGCGTGTCCATTTGAAGAGACCACCAAACAGGCTTTGTGTGAGCAATAAAGCTTTTTAATCACCTGGGTGCAGGCGGGCTGAGTCTGAAAAGAGAGTCAGCGAAGGGAGATAAGGGTGGGGCCATTTTATAGGATTTGGGTAGGTAAAGGAAAATTACAGTCAAAGGAGGTTGTTCTCTGGCAGGCAGGAGTGGTGGGGGTCACAAGGTGCTCAGTGGGGGACCTTTTGAGCCAGGATGAGCCAGGAAAAGGAATTTCAGAAGGTAATGTCATCACTTAAGGAAAGGACTGGCCATTTTCACTTTTTTTGTGGTGGAATGTCATCAGCTAAGGCAGGGACAGGGCATTTTCACTTCTTTTGTGATTCTTCAGTTACTTCAGGCCATCTGGGCATATACGTGCAAGTCACAGGGGATGCGATGGCTTGGCTTGGGCTCAGAGGCCTGACAATTATTAATTATAGAGTTTATTTGAACACAAAGCATGAGAATAGCCACCTGGAAACCTCAACTCCAAATGAATGGGGTCAGTGTTCCGAAGTAGAGACATTAATGTTTCACACAGATAAGGAAAGATGAGAAGCTTTAGCAGAATCACCACTTTTTCCATTCAAGTCCTGAAGGGGTGGCCTGCCCCTCCACACCTGTGGGTGTTTCTCGTAAGGTGGAACGAGAGACTTGAGAGAAGAAATAAGACACACAGACAAAGTATAGAGAAAGAGAAGCGGGGGCCCAGGGGACCGGCGCTCAGCTTACAGAGGACCCACGCCGGCACCGGTCTCTCAGTTCCCTTAGTATTTATTGATAATTATCTTTACCATCTTAAAGACAGGGGAGTGGCAGGACAATAGGATCAAAGAAAAAAGAGGAAATCGGCAGTAAGACATATGAACAAAAATCTCTGTGACATGAATAAGTTTAAAGGAAAATGTTGTGCCTTGAGATGCATATGCAGACATCTCCATAAACCTTTTAGTAGCATTGTTTCAGTCTATCACATGGGGAGAAACCTTAGACACACCTAGCTTTCCTAGGCAGAGGTCCCTGCGACCTTTGGCCGTGTACGTGTCCTTGGGTAGTTGAAATAAAGAGAATGGTGATGACTTTTAACCAGCAAGCTGCCTTCAGGCACTTGTTTAACAAAGACACATCCTGCACAGCCCAAAATCCATTCAACCTTGAGTCACCGCAGCACATGTCTCTTGCAAGGACAAGGTTGGGGGTAGGGTCACAGATGAACAGTATCTCAAATACAGAACAAAGAACAAAATGGAGTCTCTTATGTCTACTTCTTTCTATATAGACACAGTAACAGGCTGATCTCTCTTTCTTTTCCCCACAAAGTCCAATGCATAGGTTGCAGTAGCTTGATTGGTGACAGACTGATACACTTCAAGGAAAGTTACATTATCACTCTGTAAGAAGGGACAATGATGCCAGGAGGTCTTATCTCTGGGACTGCTTAGCTTTCTTATTTACATGAAAAAATTTTTAATTGATATTAGGAAACTCAATTGTATAGCACATTTTGTTTTGTTTTGTTTTATTTTGGTACGGAGTCCTGCTCTGTTGCCCAGGCTAGAGTACAGTGGCACGATCTCGGCTAACTACAACCTCCACGTCCTGGATTCAAGCAGTTCTCCTGCCTCAGCCTCCCAAGTAGCTGAAAATACAGGCGTGCACCACCATGCCCAGCTAATGGCTTTGTGTTTTCAGTAGGGACGGGGTTTCCCCATGTTGGCCAGGCTGGTTTATAATTCCTGACATCAGGTGATCCGCCCACCTCAGTCTCCCAAAGTGCTGGGATTACAGGTGTGAGCCACCGTGCCTGGTCAGGAAAACATGTAGAAGTTGAGCCTGCATGCCACTGGACTCAGGTTGCATGACCATGTTCCTCTCAAGGCTCAGAATTATTTAAAAGTCTGTAGCTTTAAATTTGAAATATTTGATGTTTGAAATATTTAATTTCCTACTGACAGTCCGAGTGACCTCGGACTGAAGCCTTTGCCACACTGATGACATTTGTAAGATTTCTGTCCAGTATGGATTCTCTGACGTCTAATGAGGTGTGAACATGAAGTTAACGCTCTGCCACAATCACCACAGTTGTGAGCTTTCTCTTCTGTATGAATTCTCCTGTTTTGCATAGGATGAAGTTTGACTGAAGACCCTGCCACAGTCATGGTATTTGTAAGGTTTCTCTGCGGTATGAGTTTGCTGATGAACTGCAATGTATGAACTGTGTCTGAAAAATTTGCCACGTTTATTACACTTGTAAGATCTCTCTTCATTATGGGTTCTCCAATGATTTGCAATGGTTGTAGCATTACTGAAGACTTTGTGACAAACATCATGAGAGGTGACAGTGCACTAGCAGCCCTCACTCTCGGCGCCTCCTCAGCCTATGTCCACTCTGGTAGTACTTGAGGAGTCCTTCAGCCCGCCACTGCACTGTGGGAGCGCCTTCTGGGCTGGCTGAGGCTGGAGCCAGCTCCCTCTGCTTGTGGGGAGGTGTGGAGTGAGAGGCACAGGTGGGAACTGGGGCAGTGCACGGCGCTCACAGAGAGTTCCAGGTGGGCATGGGCTTGGCGGGCCCCACACTTGGAGCGGACATCTGGCACCGCCAGCCCCGGGCAGTGAGGGACTTAGCACCCGGGCCAGGAGCTGAGGAGGGTGCGCCAGGTCCCCCAGTACTGCCAGCCCAACTACACCATGCTTGAATTCTCACGGGGCCTCAGTGCTTCCCCACGGGGCAGGGCTCAGGATCTACAGCCCACCATGCCTGAGCCCAACCCCGCCCTGTGGGCTCCCGCCTGGACCGAGTCACCCCGAGAGGCACCGCCCCCTGCTCCACCCAACGGCTGAAGAGTGTGGACTTGCGGGACTGACGGACAGCTCTGCCTGCGACCCCAGCGCAACATCAACTAGGCAAAGCCCGCTGGGCTCCTGAGTCGGTGGGGACTTGGAGAACTTTATGTCTAGCTAGAAGATTGTATATGCTCCAATCAGTACTCTGTGTCTAGCTCAGTGTTTGTGGATGCACCAATCAGCACTATGTATCTAGGTAATCTAGTGGAGACTTGGAGAACTTTTCTGTCTAGTACTCTGTGTCTAGCTAAAGGATTGTAAACGCACCAATCAGCACTCTGTATCTAGCTAAAGGTTTATTAACACACCAATCAGCACCCTGTAAAAATGCATCAATCAGCTCTCTGTAAAGTGGGCCAATAAGCGCTCTGTAAAATGGACCAATCAGTTTGATGTGGGAGGAGTCAAATAAGGGAATAATAGCAGGCTGCCCCAGCCCGCAGTAGCAGCCTGCTCGGGTCCCCTTCCACACTGTGGAAGTTTTGTTCTTTCACTCTTTACAATAAATCTTGCTGCTGCTCACTCTTTGGGTCCACGCTGCCTTTATGAGCTATAACACTCATTGCAAAGGTCTGAAGCTTCACTCCTGAAGTCAGTGAGACCATGCACCCACCAGAAGAAAGAAACTGTGGACAAATCCGAACATCTGAAAGCACAGACTCCGGATACACCATCTTTAAGTACTGTAACACTCACCGCGAGGATCCGTGGCTTCATTCTTGAACTCAGTGAGACCAAGAACCCACCAATTCCGGACACAATTACATTAGTCAACTTTCCCTAAACCATGAATTGCCTGATGGTGAATAAGCATTGACTGCTCACTAAAGGCTTTGCCACACTCACTACACTTAAAAAGTTTATCTCCAGTGTGAATTCTACTATGCCTTTTAAGGTGTGATTTGCGACTGAAAACTTTGTCACATGCTTCACATTTGTAAGGTTTCTCTCCAGTATGAATTCTATGATGACTTGAAAGGTGTGACTGTCGATTAAAAACCTTCCCACATTCATTACACTTGTAAGGTTTCTCTGCAGTGTGAATTGTAGTATGTCTTGCCAGGAGTGAATTACGCACGAAAGCCTTGTCACAAACCATACATTTGTAAGATTTCTCTCCGTTATGAAGTCTACGATGGCATACAAGGGATGACCAGTGACGGAAGGTATTTCCACACTCATTACACTTGTAAGGTTTCTCACCACTATGAAGTCTACGATGGCATAGAAGGGATGCCTTCTGGCTGAAGGTCTTGCCGCACTCATTACACTTGTAAGGTTTCTCACCACTATGAAGTCTATGATGGCATACAAGGGATGACCTGTGACTGAAGGTCTTGCTGCACTCATTACACTTGTAAGGTTTCTCTCCACTATGAATTCTAGTATGTTTTGTCACGTAGGAACGACACGTGAAAGCCTTGTCACAAACTGTACATTTGTAAGATTTCTCTCCTCCATGAAGTCTTTGATGGCATACAAGGGAGGACTTGTGACTGAAAGTCTTGCCACACTCATTACACTTGTAAGTTTTCTCTCCAGTGTGAATTCTGGTATGTCGAGCCAGCTGTGAATTCCACGTGAAAGCTGTGTCACAAACCTTACATTTGTATGGTTTCTCTCCAGTGTGAATTCTCTTATGCGTCTCAAGGGTTGATTTGCGACTGAAAACTTTGTCACATTCTTCACATTTGTAAGGTTTCTCTCCAGTATGAATTCTATGATGACGTGAAAGGTGTGATTGTTGCTTAAAAGCCTTCCCACATTCATTACACTTGTAAGGTTTCTCTGCACTGTGAATTCTAGTATGTATTGCTAGGACTGACTTACGCACGAAAGCCTTGTCACAAACAGTACATTTGTAAGATTTCTCTCCAGTATGACGTTTACGATGGTATACAAGGGATGACCAGTGACGGAAGTTATTGCCATACTCATTAAACTTGTAAGGTTTCTCACCACTATGAAGTCTACGATGGCATAGGAGGGATGACCTGCGACTGAAGGTCTTGCTGCACTCATTACACTTGTAAGGTTTCTCACCACTATGAAGTCTACGATGGCATACAAGGGATGACCTGTGACTGAAGGTCCTGCCACATTCATTACACTTGTAAGGTTTCTCTCCACTATGAACTCTACGATGGCATACAAGGTATGACCTGTGACTGAAGGTCTTTCCACACTCATTACACTTATAAGGTTTCTCACCACTATGAACTCTACGATGGCATACGAGGTATGACATATGAATGAAGGTCTTGGCACACACATTACATTTGTAAGTTTTCTCTCTAGTGTGAATTCTTCTATGTCGTGCCAGCTGTGAATTACACGTGAAAGCTGTGTCACAAACCTTACATTTGTATGGTTTCTCTCCAGTGTGAATTCTCTGATGTATCTCAAGGGTTGATTTCTGACTGAAAACTTTGTCACATTCTTCACATTTGTAAGGTTTGTCTCCAGTATGAAGTCTATGATGACGTGCAAGGTTTGATTGTTGGTTAAAAGCCTTGCCACACTCATTACACTTGTAAGGTTTCTCTCCACTATGAATTCTAGTATGGTTTGCCAGGTAGGAATGACACGTGAAAGCCTTGTCGCAAACCTTACATTTGTAAGGCTTCTCTCCAGTATGAAGTCTATGATGACGTGAAAGGTGTGATTGTTGATTAAAAGTCTTGCCACATTCATTACACTTGTAAGGTTTCTCTCCACTATGAATTGCCTTATGAATTACAAGGGCTGAATTTTGACCAAAGATCTTGCCACACTCAATACACTTGTAAGGTTTTACTCCATCACATTTATATTGTTTGTCTCCTAAATGGATTATCTGGTGTTTCCTTAAGACTGAGCTACAATTAAAGGCTTTATCACTCTCATTACATTGGAAAGATGTTTCTCTCATGTGTACTTCCTGTTTTTGTGCCAGTAGTGAAGAATTTGGGGAATTACTCTCATAGTTATTAGAAATATGGATTTGGGGCCTACAAGAAATTCTTTGGAATGTTGAAAGTGAGGGAACATCATTGGTAGACTTCTCAAGTTGATTAGCAATTATACCTTTGATCTGAAATAAGTGGAGTTGAGGCAGATGCGAATGAAAGCATGATCCAAGCTGATCATTAATAGGCTTGTTTCCAGCTTGCCTTTGATCATATCGGTCTGTACTCCCAGTCAACATTTTAATTTTTGTCATGGGTGCTTCATGGCCATTTCTTTCATCTTCTTGACACTGAAAATCAATGTCATGAATTTCTTTCTCAATATCCTGGAAGCAAAAATCTCCAATGTGATGACTTTCATGTCTTTGCAATGTCCCTGTGTGGAACACTTCCGTATTGCCCTGCCCTGTTGACAAGATCTCCTTCATCATGCATTTGGAAGAGATATCTACAAAATATAAACACCAATAGGTTTCTAATTAACTACAGTTGGTAAATCATACTGAAGTGTGTAAATGTGACACTTCAGTATGACACTTCATATTTTTTATGAAGAAGGCTCTCACCAAGAACCAATCTAGCTGACATCTTGCTCTTGGATTTTCCACTTTCCAGATTCATGAGAAATAAATTGCTATGTCTTAAGCTTTCCAGTTTAAGCTATTTCTTTTTTTGTCTGTTTTTGACATCGAGTAATGCTTCATCACCCAGGCTGGAGTGTAGTGGCACGATTCTCCTCCCTAAAGAGATTCTCGTGCCTCAGCCTCTTGAGTAGCAGGAACTACAGACACATGCACCATGCCTAATTTGTTTTTTTTGTTGTTTTTTTTTTTTTTGGGAAATGGAATCTAACTCTGTCACCCAGGCTGGAGTGCAGTGGCACGATCATGGTTCACTGCAACATCCACCTCCCAGGTTCAAGTGATTCTTCTGTCTCAGTCTCACAAGAAGCTGGGATTACAGGTGCATACCAACACACCCAGCTAATTTTTGTATTTTTACTACAGACGGGGTTTCACCATGTTGGCCAGGCTGGTCTTGAACTTCTGACCTCAGGTGATCCGCCTGTCTCGGCCTTCCAAAATTTTGGGATTATAGGCATGAACCATTATGCCCGTCCAATTTCTTTTAATTTAGTAGATTCAAGATTTCGTTATGTTTGCCTGACTGGTCTCAAACTCCTGACCGTGAGCCATCTACCCACCTCAGCGTTTGAAAGTGCTGGAAATAGAGGCGAAAGTCACTGCAGCTGGCCAGTCTAAGCTATTTCTGACAGAACAGTGAGATGAGTGAGACAGGAAAATGGGCATCTCATCATCAAGATCACTGAAGGCTGACAAATCTTATTAAACAAAGGAAGTTTAGACTGTAGTATAAAATGTATATGAAGTCATCTAATAGTATTCACTTGTTTTAAAAAGCAGGTGAACGAAATCACCTGAGGTTGGGAGTTCGAGACCAGCCTAATATGCAGAAACCCCCTCTCTCCTAAAAATACAAAAATTAGCCAGGTTTGTGCCAGGCATAATCCCAAATACTTAGGAGCCTGAGGCAGGACAATCACTTGAACCCAGGAAGTGGAAGTAGCAGTGAGCCGAGATTGCACCATTGCACTCCAGCCTGGGCAAGTAGAGGGAAGCTCCATTAAAAGAAAAAAAAAAAAAAAAGAAGAGGCCGGGTACAGTGGCTGATGCCGGTAATCTCAGCACTTTGGGAGGCTGAGATAGACAGATCATTGTGGTCAGGAATTCGAGACAAGCCTAGCCAACACGGGTAAAATTCACCTGTACTAAAAATACAAAATTAGCCAGTGTGGTAGCACATGCCTGTAATCCCAGCTACTTGGCAGGCTAAGGCAGGAGAATCACTTGAACCCGGGAGGTGGAGGTTGTAATGAACTGAGATTCTGCCATTGAACTTCAGCCTGGGCAGCAGGAGCAAAACTCCATCTCAAAGAAAGATACAAAAACAAAAACCCTGGAGGCAAATTAACATAATTTCTCAAATAACGACAGCAGGCCCACAGTGTTCATGTACATGATCCCAATTTGCACATACGGTAAGTGAGGGACAAGACTTGATCCTGGACCTGAAGGATCTCACGACATCTACTTAGGCACAATAGTCAGCTCAGGCATTACAGGAAATGACTGCACACAGAAAATACAAGCAGAACAGAAAGAAGTACACCAAGGGGGATACAAGGGCTGAGCTGGGACAAAAGGGCTGAGCTGTGCTGCTTACAGTGGTGCCAAGTCATCCCTCATGGATCATGTGCTGAGTCATCATGCCCTGCACACATTGATTCAGGCAGCCTCCTATAATTTTGTCCAGTGGATGAATAAGGTCTTGACTTACTCAGTGAGAGTAGTGTTGGAGGAGAGGGGCTCACAGAGAAATTGGGGTGTTCAGCATTACAAAATCAATAGACTGGAAAGAAACTGTATTTGCATCCAGATCAATGTATCATGTGAGGCAAGGCCAGGAAAGGAAGGGTAAGTGTGGAAGGCAGGAAGTAATTGGCACGTAGGAGCGAACTTTGTGCGTGCACATCTGTGGGAATAGAATTCCACTAGGATAGACCAAATCTTGAGCTTGGAGGAAAGTGGAACTAATTTAGCAATGGTAAAATATTGACCCAAGGTTAACTATGCAAATTACAATATGGGCAAGGGACAAGAATGAACGAGATCCAAACAAGCAGCAGTATGGTGGCCTGAGGTGAAAGCAGTTTTACATCTATTAAGTTAAATGCCTCTGATTCCTAGTTTCAAGAATATACTCAACAAAATCCCTTGTACAGATTCCAGAAATACATACACATACACACACACACACACACACACACAAAACAAGTAAACTATGAAGAGTACAGTAGAGCAATGCAGGAGACCACGGGGGTGAACAAGGATCCTCTGGCTGAGTAGGTAGAGATGTGTTTGTGAAAACAGAGCCAGGCTGAGTGAAGTGGCTCACGTCTGTAATCCCAGCACACTGGGAGGACGAGAGGGTGAATCACGAGGTCAGGAGTTTGAGATCAGCCAGGCCAGCATGGTGAAACACTGTCTCTACTAAAAAAATAGAAAACATTAGCCGGGCATGGTGGTGCACATCTGTAATCCCAGTTACTCAGAAGGCTCAGGTAGGAGATTGCTTGACCTGGGAGGCAGAGGTTGCAGTAAGCTGAGATTGCATCACTGCACTCCAGCCTGGGTGACAGAGCAATACACCATCTTAAAAAAAAAGAAACTATACCTTTAAAAGAAATGTGGTTTCACCATGTCGGCCAAGCTGGTCTCAAACTCCTGACCTCAGGTGATTCACCCACCTCAGCCTTCCAATTGGCTGGGATTACAGACATGAGCCAATGCACCCAGCCTGGCAGTATTATTTATAATAGTAAAGAGAAAAAACCAACCCAGATATCCATCAACAGATAAATATATGAGGAAAATGTGGTACACACATAAAATGGAATAGTATTCAGCGTTAAAAACAAATGCGGATAGGCAGTGGCTCATGCCTGTAATCCCAGCACTTTGGGAATCCAAGGCAACCGAATCACGTCAGACGAGGCTATCAAAACCAGCCTGGCCAACATGGCGAAACCGCCATCTGGACTAGAACTACCAAAAATTAGTCGGGTGTGGTGACACATGCCTGTAATCCCAGCCACTCAAGAGGCTGAGGCAGGAGAATCACTTCAACCCAAAAGGTGGAGGCTGCAGTGAGCCAAGATCGCACCACGGCACTCAAGAGACTCTGACTCAAAACAAACGAACAAACAAACAAAAAAACCATAGAAACGAGCAACTTGAAAGCCACTGTGTATCTTAAGGAAATGACAGTAGAATTAAACTATGGAAACCTCATTCAATCTCACAACCTCCCTCAACAACATTGATTAAAACCATATCTGCTACAGGGTTGATCCTACAACAAACTGAACAGAGGTTTTCTTGTTAAAAATGAACAATGACACATATTGGTATGAAAATGTGAAATGAGCAAGAGTTCAGTGAAGAGCCTCATACATATGAGGCTGTGAGCCCGAATGACGTCCTTGCTGGGAGGAATTTCAACACCACTGACTGCTACTTAGAGAACATGATCATTAGTTTATGAGATGAACATTGTCACAGTGCCAGTGAGAGATGCTTCTGTGATGCTTCTCAAAAACCAGAATGAGCTGGGCATGGTGGCTCATGCCTGTAAACCCAGCAGTTTTGGAAGCCAAGGTGGGTGGATCATCTGATGTCAGGAGTTAGATACGAGCCTGACCAACATGGGGAAACCCTGTCTCTACTAAAAATACAAAATTAGCTGGGCATGGTGGCACATGCCTGTAATCCCAGCTATTTGGGACGCTGAGGCAGGAGAATCGCTTGAACCTGGAAGGCGGAGGTTATGGTGGGCCAAGATCACACCATTGCACTCCAGCTTGGACAACAAGAATGAAACGCCACCTCAAAAAACAAAAACAAAAACAAAAACAAACATATATGGGGCAAAATCACAAAAGAGAATACAAAACCAGGAAGAGCCAAGATAGACAACAGCAGACTCCTCAGGCCTACAGGGACATTTTCCTCACCCACAGACTCCAGGTTCCTGTAGTTCTCCAACATCACTTCCCTGTATAAAGCCCTCTGCGCAGGGTTCAGGCATTTCCACTCCGCCAATGAGAATTCTATAGCCACATCCCTGAAAGTCACGCGTCCCTAAAATGAAACACACATTTCCACAAAACATTATGGAGGACGGAGTTATCACCTTCACAGAAAATGAGAAAAGAGAAAATAAGTATGTATTTGATCAAAGACCATGTTCTGACAAAACCAAGTTAAGGTATTTTTGAATATTTTTTCCCTACAGTTGCATTTTATTATACTTTTCCTTGAAAGATGTTAAGATCCCATCAGTCATTAGGGAAGTCTGGATTTTATGGACAATATAAAAACTATATAAATAAAAAGGAAACACAGGGTCAGGCGTGGTGGTTCATGACTGTAATCCCAACACTTCAGGAGGCCAACACGGACAGATTATTTGAGGTCCAGAGTTCAAGACCAGCATGGCCAATGTGGTGAAAACTTGTCTCTACTAAAAATATAAAAATTAGCCGGGCATGGTGGCAGGCACCTGTTATCCCAGCTACATAGGAGGCTGAGGCAGGAGAATCACTTGAACCCAGGAGATGGAGGCTGCAGTGAGCCAATTTTGCACCACTGCACTCCATCCTGGGCAACAGACTGACACTCCATCTAAAAAAACAAAAGCAATGATGGGCAGTGGCTCTCGCCTGTAATCCCAGCACTTTGGGAGACCAAGGCAGGCAAATAATGTGGTCAAGAGATTGACACCATCATGGCCAACATGACAAAACTACGTCTCTACTAAAAATACAAAAAATTAGCTGGGTGTCATGTTGCGGGTCTGTACTCCCAGCTACTCGAGAGGCTGAGGCAGGAGCATCACTTGAATCTGGGAGGCAGAGGTTGCAGTGAGCCGAGATCACACCACTGCATTTTAACCTGGCAACAGAGAAAGACTCCATCTCAAAAAAAAAAAAAAAACAAACACAGGGTTTTCTCTACAGATATGTCAGATATTACGTTCCACATACAGGCGACATTTAGTCTCTAGGTGAGCTAAAATACAAGTGCTGTTTCAGAGAGGACAAAGTCCAATGGCTTTGAAAGAAAAGTCTGAATCTAAAAACTATCATGATTGGTCAGGCACAGTGGCTCACGCCTGTAATCCCAGCACTTTGCGAGGCCGAGGTAGGTGGATCATGAGGTCAGGAGTTCGAGACCAGTCGGGGAACATGCTGAAAACTCTTCTCTACTAAAAATACAAAACTTAGCTGGGTGTGGTGGTGGGTGTCTGTAATCCCCGATATTCAGGAGGCTGAGGCCAGAGAATTGCTTGAAACCAGGAGGCAGAGGTTGCAGTGAGCCAATATCATGCCACTGCACTTCAGCCTGGGTGACAGAGCAATACTCCATCTCCAAAAAAAAAAAAAACTGTCATGATCACAGCAATAGCCATGACTAACATTTTTGAATGCTTCCCATGTGCTACGCACTGTTCTAAGTGCTTCCCATGTCTTAGGCCATAAAATAACATACTATCCCATGAAGAAAGATCTGTACTTGGAGAGAGTTGCATCACACATACTCTAGGAAACTTGTCACAAATCAAATAGCTAAAAATATCAACACGAGCACCTGAATCCAGATGTCTGGGATTCACATGTGAACATAAACACCTAAGTAACAGACACAGCTTTAAACTAAACTGACACAGGTTTATCTAGTGGAGAGAATGTGATAAAGGTCCCAGGGTAAGAACATGGAGCATCCTACAAGGTCACTGAATGGACACACATGGGCATGCACATAATCCTTCACAATACTTCTTATTTTATTTTATTTTTTCCCAGACGGAGTCTCACTCTATTGCACAGGCTGGAGTGCAGTGGCACAATGTCTCAGCTCACTGCAACCTGTGCCACCCAGGTTCAAGCCATTCTCTTGCCTCAGACTCCCCAGTAGCTGGGATGTGAGGCACCTGCCACCGTGTCCATCTAATTTTTGTATATTTAGTAGCAACAGGGTTTCACCATCTTAGCCAGGCTGGTTTTGAACTCCTGACATCTTGATCTACCCACCTCAGCCTCCCAAAGTGCTGGGATTAAAGGCGTGAGCCACCAAGCCTGGCCCCTTCTTACTATTAACTCATTATGATGATAGTTGACAACAATGAAAAATACTTAAAATTATTACAATTATTATAAAAAATAAAACTTATTGCAAATGTGTTTTCTACATAAACCATGGGCTTACGCATCCATGTATTCATACACACACATCATGCCATTACACCCATGGTGGTGTGCACTTCTAATCCCAGCTACCTGAAAGGCTGAGGCAAAAGAATCACTGTAATCCGGGAGTCAGAGGCTACAGGGAAACGAAATCACACCACTGCACTCCAGTCTGGGCGAAAGAATGAGAGTCAATTCAAAAAAAAATCAAATCAAATCAAATCAAAGATATAATAAAGCATCCTGTACCACTGATGCCTATCTCCACTTCCCATTCCACCACGAGTCATTAAAAGTGCAGAGTTTGGCCAAGCACGGAGGCTCAGGCCTATAATCCCAGCGCTTTGGGAGGCCAAGCTGGAAGAATCACAAGATCAGGAGTTCAGCAAGCCTGACCAATATGGTGAAACTCCATCTCTACTAAAAATACAAAAAAATGGCCGGGCACAGTGGCTCACGCCTGTAATCCCAGCACTTTAAGAGACCAAGGCAGGCAGATCATGAGGTCAGGAGATCTAGACCATCACGGCTAACACGGTAAAACCCCGTCTCTATTAAAAATTTTTAAAAATTAGCAAGGAGTTGTGGTGGGCACCTGTAGTCCCAGCTACTCAGGAGGCTGAGGCAGGAGAATGGCATGAACCTGGGAGGCAGAGTTTACAGTGAGTTGCGATTGCGCCACTGCACTCCAGCCTGGGTGACAGAGCAAGACTCTGTCTCAAAAAAAAAAAAAAAAAAAAAAAAATTAGCAAGGCATGGCAGCAAATGCCTGAAATCCCAGATACTCGGGAGGCTGAGGCAAAAGAATTGCTTGAAGCCAGAAGGCAGAGGTTACAGTGAGCTGAGATCATGCCACTGCAATCCCAATCCAACCTGGGCAACAGAGCGAGACTCCATCTCAAAAACGTGCAGAGTCAGGCCGGGCTGGCTGGCTGCCATCAGGAATGTCAGCAATTTGGGAGGGCAAGACGGGAGGATCACTTGAGGCCAGGATATCAAGGCTATAGTGAGCTACGATTGCACCACTGCACTCCAGCCTGGACAACAAAATAAAAATATAATATAAAAAATAAGGCCGGACACAGTAGCCCACACTTTTAATCCCAACACTTAGGGGGTCTGAGACAGGCAGATCACGAGGTCAGGAGTTCCAGACCAGCCTAACCAACATGATGAAAGCTCGTCACAACTAAAAATACAAAAATTAGCTGGGTGTGGTGGTGCGTCCAGGCAACCTGGGAGGCTGAGGTAGAAGAACTGCTTGAAACCGGGAGGGGGAGGTTAAATTGAGCCGAGATGGTGCCATTGCACTCCAGCTTTAGTGACTGAGTGAGATTCCATCTTAAAATAAAGAAATATGTACATACATACATATATACATACATACATACATACATACATACATACATACGGTGACCCATGTCTATTATTCAGGTTCTTTGGCGGGTTAAATTAGGGATTAGTTGAGTCCAGGAGTTTGAGAATGCTATAAACTCTGAATTGTGCCACTGTACTCCAGAACGAAGCCACAAAGTGACACCTTCTCTCTCTTTTTTCTTTTGAGACAGTGTCTCACGCCATCTCCCAGGCTGGAATGCAGTGGCACAATTTCGGTGTACGGTAACCTCCACCTCCCAGATTCAAGTGATTCTCCTGCCTTAGCCTCCTGAGTAGCTGAGATTACAGGTATGCACCACCACATGCAGCTAATTTTTGTATTTTTAGTAGAGATGGGGTGAGAGCCCTTCCCACAACCATGCCCAGTGGAGCCTCTTCCCAAGTTCATGTCACTGGGTCACAGGAGATGGAATCTCAGAGCAGGTGACAGGAACTGAGGGCAGGCATGGATGAGTGAGAGCAAACCTGTCAGGCAAAATGCTTCAGACTCAGAAAAGACTGGCTACTACAATTCCTGGCATTTCAGAAAGGAAAGAGACAGATTAATCCCCATAGGAACATCACTTCACCTGAGGAAGAGCCATGCCTGGCTCCTTTCCTTTCCTCTTCTCAGCTGCTTGCTCATGTAATATCAGTCTTTAGAAACCAATCCTGTATGTGAAAAAAAAAATAAGACTTCGTGTTAGAAATGACTCACTCCTTTCCTGCGACAAAAACACATGAACGGGGAGACGTCACCCTATAGAAAGATGGTCCCCCACTGCCCACTGCACCAGAGATCATGCAGAGATAAGAAAGTCCCACAGGAAGACCTATAAGTGTACATTTGACCTCAGTCTTCAGATCTCACTCCCCTCCTGGAGAAGCCCCCACACACGAGGCAGCAGAGGGGAGCTGGGCTGGACTGATCTCCCCTTCAGGATACAGACTCTTCCCCGACCAAACCCCACCCAGAGGACAGCCCCTCATCTCTCTGTGGATCACAGGCTGAGCTCAGCCCCCAGAAAAGGAGGACACAGAGCTTCGACGCTCAATGCTGCACACAGATGACAAGCACCTGGGCCACTGCAGCTATTACTGAGGGTGGGCTCCATCCCTTCAGAATAAGAACCCCTGCTAAAGCAGCACAAAAGCTCTATTTGCAAAATGCCTTTGGACTCTAATGTGAAGCCAGGGTTGAGCTCCACTCAGAGGGGGCGAGCCCAGCACAGCCCCATGTTCTGGCTCTGCTCTCTCTTTGGGGCCTTGTTCTCACCAGGATCCAGACAGTGGATGGCAAAGGCACAAAAGTAATCATAATGAGGCTGGGTGCAGTGGCTCACGCCTATAATCCCAGCACTTTGGGAGGCAGAGGTGGGTGGATCACGGGGTCAGGAGTTCAAGACAAGACTGGCCAACATGGTGAAACACTGTCTCTACTAAAAATACAAAAATTAGCTGGGCATGTTGGTGCGTGCCAGTAATCCTAGCTATTCAGGAGGCTGAGGCAGGAGAATTGCTTGAAGTGGGAGGCGGAAGTTGCAGTGAGCCGAGATCCCACCATTGCACTCCAGCCTGGGTGACAGAGCAAGACTCCGTCTCCAAAAAAAAAAAAAAAAAAAAGTCACACAGAACAGTAAATGTGGACCAGAGGTGGGATGAAGGTTGGGCTGTGTGTAAGGAAAATAAATCTTGGGGCCCCAAATCACTAAGCGAAAGGGAAACGTCAAGGTGGAAACTGCTTAGGGAACAAGACTCCCCTTCTATTCAGTCACCCCTCTGCTCCCTGACATAGATGCATATCTGAGTGCCTCCTTTGGAAAGGCTAATCAGAAACTCAAAAGAAGGACCCAGCACAGTGGCTCAGGAATGTCTGTCATCCCAGCACTGTGGGAGGCCTAGGCAGGCAGATCACTTGGGGTCAAGACATGGAGACCAGCCCAGCCAACAAGGTGAAACCCCATCTCTACTAAAAATACAAAAATGATTGGGGCATCTACTTGGGAAGCTGAGGCAGGAGAATCACTTGAACCCAGGAGGCAGAGGTTGCAGGGAGCCGACATCCTGCCACTGCACTCCAGCCTGGGTGACAAAATGAGACTTCATCTCAAAAAAAAAAAGGAAACTCAGAAGCTTGCAACCATTTGTGCCTCAGTTTTCTGTGACCTGGAAGCCCCCGCCCTGCTTCAAGTCTTCCTGCCTTTGTTTAAAGTTGCCCCTCCATGCAGACCAAACCAATGTACTTCTTACATGTATTGACTGATGCCTCATGTCTCCATAATATGTGTAAAATGAAGCTCTGCCCCGACCACCTTGGGCAAAATAAACTTGCTAAATTAACTGAGATCTATGTAAGATTTTCTGGTTTCACAGCTGCAATGTCAAATGGGGGGCTGTGGGAGATCACAAAGGAAACCCGGAGAAGATGGTATCAGAACACGGACCTAGGAAAGAAAGGCTGCTTGTCACTTGCAGCTGAGGGGCAGAGAGTCCTAGTCAGAGTAACAGCTCAAGCGAAGGCCCTGAGAGAGGAGCAACCTCAGCAGCAGGAAAAGGAAAGCGATCCATGTGGCTGGAGCAGTGGAAGAGAGGAGGGCACAGGTGGATGAGGTCAGAGAGGTCCTGGGGGCACAGACACATAGGGATACGGTCTTCAAACATTTTTCTCCCACAACCCAAAAGAATTTTGAAAGTCAACTATGATCCCAGCTACTCGGCAGTCTGAGGCAGGAGAATTCCTTGACCCCAGGAGACAGAGGTTGCAGTGAGCTGAGATCGTGCCATTACACTCCTCTCGGCCCACAAGAGTGAAAATTTGTCTTAAAAAAAAAAAAAAAAAATGGAAGTGATGTATCTTCTCACTCTTTTCACGTATACATGTAAGTTTCTCTTTATATTATAAATTACAACACTTACAAATAATGTAATTTATTTCCCATATTTAAAACACAGACTGTCAAGTTCGGCTAAGTTTCTGGAAGAACACAGTCACTCTCAACTGAGCTGTGCAGACTGCAAGGGAATGTGTTTGGGGATCTAGGAAGTCACTTATGGACACCTGAAGGTGGGGATGCCTGTTTGATGTCCCAGGAGAGAGCTGAGGAGACAATTGGACACACGATTGTAGAGCTCAGTGGCGAGGCCTGCAGGGGACATGGAGTCATGTAGGTGGGTGAAAGCTCTGAGATGATAAGGTTCAAGGTGATTTGAGTCTAATCCCCTGTTTTTGCTCATCTTGAAGAGCTGGAATCCACTTGAAATTTGAGTTTAAAATGAGCAGTAACCTCTCCCAGAAGAAAAGCCACACACTGTATTTTGTCAGTCATTTCAGGGACCAGTGTCACTCTGACGGAGCTTTCCTGGTCTTATTCCTCACCTCTATGTTACAGGTGGGCTCACTGAGGCTCATGGCGGGAGACATTTCCCCAAGTTATCCTGAGAAGCTCTGAGGTGAGGAAGAAGGAGTTGTGGCTGATTCCCATGTGATGGCCTGGAAGGCCCAATAGGCTGCCTTGGTCTTCCCCTCTAGAAAATTCCAAGACCAGCCAGGAGTGGTGACTCACCCTTGTAATCCCAACACTTTGGGTAGTTGAGGCAGGCAGATCATTTGAGCCTAGAAGTTTGAAACCAACGTGGGCAACATAGTTAACCCCATCTCTACCAAAAATACAAAAAATTAGCCAGAGCTCGTGGCATGCATCTGCGGTCCCAGTTACTTGGGAGGATGATGTAAGATTACTTGAGGCTGGGAGGCAGAGGTTGCAGTGATCTAAGATTGTGCCACTGCATTCCAGCCTGGGTGATAGGGTAACACTTGATCTTACCAAAAAAAAAAAAAAAAAAAAAAAGCAGCTAGACAAGGTAGCTCACACCTGTAATCACAACACTTTGGGAGGACAAACTGGGTGAATCACGAGGTCAGGAGTTCGAGACCATCCTGGCCAATGTGGTGACATCCCGTCACTACTAAAAATACACAAATTAGCCAGGTGTGGGGGTTCACGCCTACAGTCCCTGCTACTTGGGAGGCTGAGGCAAAAGGATTGCTTGAACCCGGTAGGTGAAGGTTGCAGTGAGCTGAGATCATGCCACTGCACTCCAGCCTGGGCGAAAGAGCGAGACTCCATCTCAAAGAAAAACAAACAAACAAACAAACAAACAAACAAAAATTCCAGGACTATCTTTTATATACCTGAGCAAAGCAAACTTCTTTCAAGTTGTAAGGTTCTGATGGCATCAATCCCAAACATACAATTACTCACTCCCAAAAAAATGTTCAAAATATACACGACTGTCCACACATAGCAATAGGTCTTTGAAACACTGAAAAAGAGGCAGCCGTAGAAATGAGATCTGAGCAAATGCTTTTCTCATGAACATATGGGCTCTGCTAAACCAAGGTTCCAAGTCAATCCAGCCCATCCTTCAACATCTGTAGAGAATATTATGGACCAGAGGAACCTGAGGGAGACATTTACTTAGAAGCTCACAGATCACCATTTTGTCTAATGACAAAAGAAAAGAAAATGGAATAGGCTACTTCAACTAAATTTTCATGTTAGGGTAAATAAAAAAGGTCCTTGATATCATTATCAAGTACACACTGAAACAACCTAAAATAATATATCACGTAGTAGAAAATGTTTTCGATATATGATAAAGACTAGAAAGCACACAGTTCTCAATGTAAACTGAACACAATTTCATAAAGAATTTTAAAATGGTTAAAAAATATAGATCTAATGAAATCTTGAAATATTTGAAAATATATCATACTTTGAAAACAATGAGGCCAGCCATAGTGACTCACACCTATTATCCCAGCACTTTGGGAGGCCGGGGCAGGAAGACCACAAGGTTAGGAGTTCGAGACCAACCTGGCCAACATGGAGAAACCAGGTCTCTACTAAAAATAGAAAAATTAGCAGGGCATAGTTGCGCACACCTGTAACCCCAGCTACTCAGGAGGCTGAGGCACAAGAATCTCTTGACCTCAGGAGGCAGAGGTTGCAGTGAGACCACTGCACTCCAGCCTGGGTGACAAAGAGAGTTTCAATAAATAAATAAATATATATCTAAACATTAGCCGGGCTACTCCTCTGGTCCCAGCTACTCCAGAGTCTGAGGTGGGAAAATCACTTGAGTCCAGGAGGTTGCCGCTGCACTGAGCTGTGATCCTGCCACTGCACTCCAGCCTGGGAAACAGTAAGAGTGTCTCAAAAAAAAATAAAAATTAAAGGCTGGGCATGGCGGCTCATGCCTGTAATCCCAGCACCTTGGGAGGCTGAGGCGGGAGGATCACTGAGGTCAGGAGTTCAAGACTAGCCTGACCAAGATGGAGAAACCCCATCACTACTGAAAATACAAAATTAGCCAGCCATGGTGGTGCTCGCCTGTAATCATAACTACTCAGGAAGTTGAGGCAGAAGAATCACTTGAACCCCAGAGGTGAAGGTTGCGGTGAGCCAAGATCACACTGTTGCACTTTAGCCTGGGCAACAAGAGCAAAACTCCGTCGGTCCTTATTTAACCTCCTGTTGCCCTTCTCCCCAATCTTTCGATTGCCCTCATCGTCTATATATTACCGCCTCTTATCTCTGTGTCTCCTCTGCTCTGTTAAATTCTCTCTTCCCTGTTACATTCCCCTGTCTCCACTCTCTAGCACCCCAAAAACCGAAGTGTCCTTCCTTCCGTGGTTCTCCCTGTTCTCCTGGCCATCAGCACCACTCTGGGGGTTTGAAGTAAGACGCCTGCATCCCGGAGAAGCGCATTTTCCGGGGGGTGGAGCTGGGCAGGCAAGAATACCCGGTGTCATAGGGCAAGCCCCTGGGACCTCCCCAACGCTGATTCAGGGAAAGCGGTGACTGCAGAGGGAAGACTTGGGGAGCAGCAGGGCCCGGCACAAGGAGGGACCTGCGGGGCAACGGCGCCTTAAGACAAGGGTGGCCCCTGCAGGCACCCAGGACCCAGGAAGAAGACGCAGCCTCCCCGGGACTGGGGCCGGGAGCCTGGGAAGCGAGCCTGGAGGCGCCCAGGGCGGGAATCCACCTCGCGGGTGAGGACTTTAAAAAGCATGGGGTGGGAGGAGTCACAACAAGGTTTTGACCAGGAAAACTGCGCTATAGGAAGTGTATACACTGCCCTATAACAGAAAGACCGGGTAGGGGACCAGCCTCCGGACGACTTCAACCCCAAAAGGAAGCAACTCCTGGACTCTTAAGGGGACGTCTCAGTTTTCTCTGGGTAAAGGAAGACAAGCAAGAATTTCCAGGTCCGTGGGAACCCCACGTCCCAGGGACAGAAGCGCCAGGGACCTGGGAAGGGTATACTTAACACAAGACAGAGCGAAACTCACGCGCCGCGGTAGGACCTTCACTCCACGGAATCCCCTTCCGGGTTTGCGCGCACAGGACAGAAGCCAGGCCTGGGCGGGGCCGCAAGCAGTGTAGCCGGGCCTGGGCGGGGTAGGGGCGGAGAGACCTTGCCCTTTAGAACCCGCAGACAGCCGGGCCGGGGCGGGAACCATGCGTCTCTCGGCCTCGCACCCAGCGTCTCTGTTTTCCGGGTTTTTGGAGGTGAGAGCGGCCAGGAAGGCTAAGGCATAATTCAAAAGCCCTGGAATTGTCTGGAACGGGCATGCAAACTAGAATGTGAAATGCAAAGCCCTGCCTGGGCGGAACGTAGGATTTCATGCTGATGGCCCACAGAACAGAATAGAAATCCTCTCCATTTCTATTCTCCATTCACTCCAGAGGGAGAGTCCACCCTGTGCTCAGCTTCAGAGACTCCCCTAGGGTCTCCCCCTGGGAAGAGGGACGGAGTGTTCAGGCCAGGGAGGAGTGAGGTCACCACTTGCTGCTTAAACAAAACAAGGTTGCAGGCATGGGGCTGAAGTCTGAGGTCCCAGCTACTCAAGAAGCAGCAGCGGGAGAATCGCTGAAATTGGGGGTCCAGGCCAGTCTGGGCGACAAAGTGACACCCCCTCCCGTAGGGCTCCCTTCCTTGTCTCTCTCTGGCTGTGCAGTGGCAAGATTTTGGATCACTGCAAGCGCCTCCTGGGTTCACACCATTCTCCCGCCTCAGTCTTTCCAGTAACTTTGACTACAGGTGCCCGCCATGATGCCCGTCTGTTTTGCATTTTTAGTACAGAGGGGGTTTCACCATGTTAGCCAGGATGGTCTGGATCTCTTGACCTCGTGATCCGCCCGCCTCAGCCTCCCAAACTGCTAGGATTACAGATGTAAGCCACTGCGGCTGGCCTTGTGTGTGTTTTTTCTTTTGTTTTTACCGTTTTTAAATAAAATTTTTCATGGTGTGAGATAGGGATCCAGCATTATTCTTTTCCATGTGAATATCCAGTTAGTTGTCCCAGCACATTTGTGAAAGAGATCTATTACTTTCTCTTGTTTTCACTTTTTTCTTTCCTTTTATTTATGAGACAGAGTATTTCTCTGTGGCCCATGCTGGGGTGCAGTTGCGAGATTGTGGTTCACTGCAGCCTCTGCCTCCTGAGTGGAAGCTATTCTTCTGCCTCAGCCTTTGGAGTAGTTGCTATTACAAGCGCACACGACCACGCCCAGCTAATTTTTGTATTTTTGGTAGAAATGGGGTTTCACCATGCTGGCCAGGCTGGTCTGGAACTCCTGACTTCAAGTGATCCACCTGCCTCGGCCTCCCAAAGTGCTAGGATTACACTTGTGAGTCACCGTGCCTGGCCCAGGAAATATTCTTTACTTCACTTTTTAAATGTGAGAAAATATAATTGAAAAACAAAGAGTATTCCGCCAAATGAGAAATCATCTCTACGACGATAATAGAAAAATTAAAACTATTTTATTAATAAATAAGCTTCAGGACAGAATGTGATGGGAAATAGAGGCAAACAGCTAAGAGGTTGAAAAGAGAGAAAGGAACTTCACTGTTCTATACAACCCATTAAGTACATGTTTTCAAGATAAACACTAATCAGTCCTCAGGCGACAGGACTTGAGAAGCCATTGGTTACACATAGTTCATCCTGGCTCTACTGGGTAACAGAGTTGAGAATCTCTGTCAGCTAATTAGCATCAACTCGAGGGAGGGGGAAATACCCTAACACTAACCATAATACAAAAATAATCTGGGCGTGGTGGCAGACACCTGTAATTTCTCTCTATTTTTAGTACAGACAGGGTTTCACCAAGCTGGCCAAGCTGGTTTCAAACTCCTGAAGTCAAGTGACTCAGAAGTCTCGGTGTCCCAAAGTATTGGGATTACAGGCTTGAGCTACCAGGGTCAGCCAGGAAAACTCCTAAAAGTTGCACCTGCATTCCCCTGGACTCAGGTTGCAGGACCACATTCCTCTCAAGGTTCAGAATTACTTAAAGGTCTAAAGCTTTAAATTGGAATCATTTGATATTTGAATTATTTAATTTCCTACTGAGACACAGGTACTATTTATCTTGTTGTTTGCCTTTTTTTTTTCTTTCTTTTTGTTTTGAGATGGAGTCTCGCTTTGTTGCCCAGGCTGCAGTGCAGTGGCACAATCTCGGCTCACTGCAGCCTCTGCCTCCCAGGTTCAAGCAATTCTCCTGCCTCAGTCTCCCGAGTAGCTGGGACTACAGGCATGTGCCACCATGCCCGGCTAATTTTTTTTTGTATTTTTAGTAGAGACAGGGTTTCACCATGTTAGTCAGGTGGTCTCGAACTCCTGACCTCGGGATTGGCCCACCTTGACCTCTCGAAGTGCTGGAATTAATGGCCTGAACCACCACGCCCGGCTATTGTTTGTCTTTCAAAGTGAGTACCCAAGTTCTTCAGAAATACAACCCTGGGCCAGGTGTGGTGGCTCACACCTGTAATCCCAGTACTTTGGAAGGCTGAGCCTGGAGGATCATCTGAAATGAGAAGTTCAAGACCAGCCTGGCCAACATGGTGAAATCTCATCTCTACAAAACTATAAAAATCAGCCAGGCATTATGGTAGGTGCCTGTAGTCCCAGCTCCTCTGGAAGCTGAGGTGGGAGAATCGCATGTACCAGGGAGATGGAAATTGCAGTGACCAGAGATCACACCATTTAACTCCAGCCTGGGCAACAAGAGTGAAACCCCGTCTCCATCTGAAAGAAGAAAAGACTACCTCAGAAGACAGAAAACGCATTTGCAAATTTTCTAAATAAATGTCCTAAGAAAAGAGACAAAAGGAAAGAAAATCTCTTTCTTTATTTTCAAAGGAGGAATTGTACCTCTCATTTATTTGCTTGTTTGTTTGAGACAGGGTCTAGCTCACTCACCCAGGCTGGAATGTGGTGGCAAAAAAAGGGCTCACTGCAGACTTCAATGCCCTGGCTCAAGTGATCCTTCCACCTTTTTCATCAAGCATTTGGAAGAGATATCTACAAAATATAAACACAATACATTTCCAATTAAGTCCAGATGGTAAACCATACTGAAATGTGGAAATACGACACAAAAAAATACTTATTTTAAACTTCCCAAACATGATCTTCAAAGTTTAGGAGCACAAAAGGAGTAAGATCCTTTAATAAAGGGCAATTACATGTCCTTCAAATCATTTCTACGGAAGCCTATTTCCAATATCATGACAATACACTGACAGGGCACAAACACGTGTAAGCCTAAAGTCAGAAGTGTTTTTCCACTGTGACCCTAAAGTGCATCACAGTTTACAAAAAACATATCACTGTCACACAAGGAAAAGAAAACTGTATATTTTTCACATTTACAGAATATCTACTGTATACAAATAAATTCTAAAAGACCAAACAACAGACTATATTTATAAATAATCCACAACAAGCTTATGTAAGGGTAACCAAAATCAATGGAAATTCTGTATTGTCAAATAATCATTGCACAGAGAAGATAAGAAAAGATTACAAAAATCAGGCAGGCATGGTGGCGGGCACCTGTAGTCTCAGCTACTCGGGAGGCTGAGGCACAACAATCGTTTGAACCTCGGAGCCGGAGATTTCAGTGAGCCAACATTGTGCCACTGCCCTGACAGAGTGAGACTCCATCTCAAACAAAAAAGTTAATACAATCTTTTTCTGAATACCTGTCATAAAATTACCTATATCCATGCAGAACAGGGACTTATTGAAATTAACAAGTGCAGGGTGTCAGTTATATTACATATCATATACCAAAAAGCCATATGTGAAATCTTAAATATTAATCAGTAAGCCATTGTAACCCATGATAAAACCAGCAAGCAAACAATAAGTACATTTATACAGCCTGCAGAATTCTAAACAATTTCCTCTTAAGAAAAAAGCCACAACTTCTACTTCCCACCAGCACACACTATAAGAACTGAAATACATGTTAAGATCACTACCTTCTGATGTATGAGTTCAAGTAAATACACAGCATTACTCCAGTTGCTCACTGCAACTTCTGCCTCCCAGCCAGGTCCAAGTAATTCTCCTGCCTCAGCCTCCAGAGTAGCTGGAATTAGAGGCATGTGTCAACATGGCCAGCTAATTTTTGTATTTTTGGTAAAGACATGGTTTCACCATGTAGGCCAGACTGGTCTCGAACTCATGACCTTCAGCGATTTGCTCCCAAAGTGCTGGGATTACAGGCATGAATGAGCCGCCACGCCTGGCTTTGATGTTCCTTACTTTTCTTTATTTTTTTTTCAGACGGAGTCTAGCTCTGTTGTTCAGGCTGGCATACAGTGACGGAATCCCGGCTCACTGCAACTTCTGCCTCCCGGGTTCAAGCAATTCTCCCGCCTCAGCCTCCCGAGTAGCTGGGATTTTAGGCATCTGCCACCACGTCCGGCTAATTTTTGTGTGTGTATATAGATAGATAGATAGATATCTTTTTTTTTTTGAGACGGAGTCTCGCTCTGTCGCCCAGGCTGGAGTCCAGTGGCCGGATCTCAATTCACTGCAAGCTCCGCCTCCCGGGTTTACGCCATTCTCCTGCCTCAGCATCCCGAGTAGCTGGGACTACAGGCGCCCGCCACCTCGCCTGGCTAGTTTTTTGTATTTTTTAGTAGAGACGGGGTTTCACCATATTAGCCAGGATGGTCTCGATCTCCTGTCTTCGTGATCCGCCCATCTCAGCCTCCCAAAGTGCTGGGATTACAGGCTTGAGCCACCGCGTCCGGCCTAATTTTTGCATATTTTAAGTAGAGATTGGGTTTCACCGTGTTGGCCAGGTTGGTCTCAAACTCCTGACCTCCTGATCCACTCAACTGTCTCCCAAAGTGCTGAGATTACAGGCGTGAATCACCACGCCCTGACATCCCTTTTAAAAACTGCTATGGCCTCAGCTTGGTGGCTTACACCTGTAATCCCAGCACTTTGGGAGGCCGAGGCAGCAGGTCACCTGAGGTCGGGAGTTAGAGATCAGCCTGGATCAACATGAAGAAACCTCATCTCTACTAAAAACACAAAATTAGCCAGGCATGGTGGTGTATGCATGTACATCCAGCTACTCAGGAGGCTGAGGCAGTAGAATCGCTTGAAGCCGGGGAGCGGAGGTTGTGGTTAGCTGAGATCATGCCATCGCACTCCAGCCTGGGCAACAAGAGCAAAACTCCCTCTCAAAAAAAAAGGGGAGGGCTATGTAAGCCAGACGCGGTAGGTCATCTCTGTAATCCCACCTGTAATCCCAGTAATTTGGGAGGCCAAGGCAGGAGGATACTTTGAGCCCAGAATTTTGAGACCAGCCTGGGAAACATAGTGAAACCCTGTTTCCAAAGCAAAACAAAACAAAACAAAAACTAGCCGGGCTTGGTGGCTTATGCCTCTGGTCCCAGTTACTCAGAAGACGGAGGTAGGAGGATCGCTTGAGCCCAAAAGGTTGAGGCTGCAGTTAGAGGAGATCAGGACAGTGCACTCCAGTCTGGGTGATAGAGCCAGACCCTGTCTCAAGATATTATTTAATTAATTAAATTAAAAGTATTATGTAATAACAGACAGTGACTTTTTTACCACTTCACTACCCACATCCTACCCCATCCTAGGAAAAGGGAAGGCAGTAATTCACAACTGAATAAGTCACTTCCCTCTGGCTGAATAGGGATTCCAAGTGGAAGATACCCCTGATGCCAAGATTTATAGAATGTACGTCTTATAGATAC